GGAAAATGGGATGAACATGGTTGACTGGAGGATGTTGATAAATGCAACATAAGAGATAGGAAGAAATTGAGCAGAGATATATTTGATTCCCACTCGGAAACCTGACACTAATAGGTCTTGGTATGATGGTTCAACACTTATGATGACTCCAGATTAGAGAAAAGAGATTTCTTTCACTTGTATATACACAACTCTGAAACAGCAACTAAAAAGGGGCTATACACATTGCTTCAGTTTTCAGAGAGATAGCTGTATTAGGAACTGTGGACCCATGCCATGAAGGGTTTTAAAGGTGATTACCAACACCTTGAATTGCACCCAAAAGCAAAATGGCAGCCAGTACTGCTTGCAGAGCACTGGCATTACATAGACCATACTTGGGACCCCAAGAAGTACCTGTGTCTGTTGCACTCTGCACTAGCTGTAGCCTCCAAATGCTCTTCAAGGGGAGCCTCACATTGAATGTGCTGCAACAGTCCAGCTGTTATGTCCTGGAAGGGACTAACGGACTGAGGCAAGACGGATCTGAAGGCTAACAGATTTATTAACTAACAGTAACAACTAACAAAACTTGGCTCTGCTCAGCTGACAGAGATAGAAGTGCGCCGGCACTTTGACAGTTCTTTTATATTCCCCGCTGGCAGTGTCTCAGCCAATCAGGAAACGCCGAAGGGACTGCATCAGGGGCGGACCATAGGGCAAACAGGACACAGCACCAACCATGAGATGATTAGGGCTTGAATGATTGAGTGTAAGGACTCCTGATGCAGGACAGGCTGCAACTGGCACACAACCTGAAGTTGTGCAAAGGGTTAGCCATGACATTACAGCTACATTTGCAAACTTTATAGTTTTCTTTGAGACTTTCTGCCCGAACATACAGAAGCCATAGACAGGCAGCCTGAGAATGCATATTTGGTTTCTTTTCATTTAGTTCACATGATCCAGGACCAATTTTCAAACAGTAAGTCTATAAAAATGATGTTGATGTATATCAGGGGTGAAATCCAGCAGGTTCTGACAGGTTCTGGAAAACCGGTAGTGGAAATTTTGAGTAGTTCAGAGAACCACCAAATACCACCTCTGGCTGGCCCCAGAGTGGGGTGGGAATGGAGATTTTGCAATATCCTTCCCCTGGAGTAGGGTGGGAATAGAAATTTTGCAGTATCTTTCCTCTGCCATGCCCGCCAAGCCATGCCCACCAAGCCATGCCCAACAGAACCGGTAGTAAAAAAAATTGAATTTCACCATTGCTGTATATGGATGAAATCTAAAACACATGAGAGAAGACAGAAAAAGGTAGAAAAAAAGAGGATGCTTAGTTTTGCTTCTGCTTAGTCCCTTTGACTCTTCATGACCAAATGGAATGCTTAGTTCCTTAGACTGTCTTTCCGGCCACTTCTTTATGTTTTTTTTTTGTAAACTCGTGCTTGTGAAATCTTGGCTCTTCTGCTGGCTTGTTTTTCTATTGCCCTTCTCACATTAATACTAACAAGCAATGTGACATCACATCTATGGCCAGGGCATTCTTGGTAACTTTCTCTCCAGATTGCCAGATTTACATAAACCATGAATTTATAAAAAGTACATCACAGTGGTTTATATCTCAACATAATGTGATATAATAGTACTAGCTTGGTGAGCAAGTCCATATTTTTGTATTTGGGGGCAGGGAGGCAATTTATGAAAGTAGAATAAGAAGCAATGGATGGAAATTTATGAGCAACTACCGGGGGGGGGGAGGGGAGTCCAATAACTCTTGTGTTCTCTCAAGAGATGTCTTAAAGGCATGATATACAGTAATTCACAGAATGAGCAGTCAAGAGTACTGTTACTCTCTATATGGTGTATCTCTCTTCCACTCGCATTCTCTTCAACGCAGCTCTCAAAGCCTTGGCGTTAGCTTCAAATCTTGACAAGAACTGATATTTTAAGATGACCAAAGAATTCCATTTCAAAGATTTAGAAAAACTCTGTGATGATGATGAGAGGAAAGCTTGTGAAAGGATCAGGAATAGACAATGGAGTGTTCATAGCAATCATGTTTGCTAAAGCTACTGTAAGAGCTAACTTGGAATTAAATGCAAACTTCTAGGCAGACATTTACCCATATATTTGTTGATCCAGTTGTATAGTTCTTCTCATCTTTACTTTTATTAAAAGTTTTGTTGTCATTTCTATAATGTTCCAAGACACAACTCTCAAAAGTGTTCACTTCACAGACTGAATAACTGTTGCAACATGCAAGTTTGCTTGTGTTTTAAATTTAACAAGTTTATCAACAGAAACAGTGCAGTCAAAATTGAAATAATATTTTGCCCATTTTATCTTTTCACAAAAAGGAAATAGATGGCTTTCTCTGTAACTCTGTAAGTGAAGAGTTTCTATCTAGATCAGTCTAAGTAGATAAGCTGCCTTAAATAGAGCTTGCATATAGTTCCATTTTGCAAAGTATTTATTGCACCATCATCATAGCCATTGTCTATCCACTACAGGATGAAGGGCTCTTCTCAGTGGTGAAATGTAAAATTTGTTACTACCGTTCTGTGGGCGTGGCTTGGTAGTGGGGATAATGTGATTGGGTGGGCGTGGTCAACTTTTTTTTTGCTTTTAAAAGGCTCTGACGATCCCAGTTGAGCTGCGCGATCATCAGAGCCTTTTTTTTAACTTTTAAAAGTACTTTTACTTTTACTTTTTCTTCGACCGAAGAAAAAATGCTTTTAAAAGTTTTTTTTAAAGAGCCTTTGATGATCGCGTGGCTCAGTTAGGCATGAGGGGTGGGCAGGGATTTTTGCTACCGGTTCTCTGAACCACCTGCCATCATCGCTATCGGATCGGGTAATCTGGTCCGAACTGGGAGCATTTCACCCCTGGCTCTTCTGCATGTTTCCAACCAATACGGTCCTGAGCTTTCTTTTGCCAATTGGGCCCGCAATACTTGCCGATGTAGTCGATCCATCTTGTTTTAGATCTCTTTTGTGGATGCTTTTTAATCATGTGGGATCCATTCTATTCTTTGGAGTAGTTATTTTTCTCAAATCCTCGAATTCTAATTTGCACACCATGTGCTCTGTTGCTGAACTTGCTTGCCTTCTCAGACACAAGAATTATCCTCAGCCAGTCATTTTATTGCTTTGGGCTCTGCAATCAAGCTCAACTTGAGTCCATAGCCATTGACATAGCTCATGCTTTAAAGAAGCACTGTCCTTACTGCATCTCCAACAAAATGCTGTTTTTGACAATCCTTTTCTATACACATATAATGCAGGGGTGGGTTCTACTTACCTTTACTACTTGTTTGCAATGGGAGCGCGCATGTGCATTTGCTTTGCTCATGTGCTTGTGCTTCTGCAGAAGTCCCTTGATGAAGTCGGGGGGGGGGGGGCGGAGCCTCCTGCCAGTTTTACTACTGGTTCTATAGAACTGGACAAAACCGGGAGCAACTCATCACTGATGTAAACATTCTAAATATTATTTTGTATAAATATTTTGTATTTTGTATTGTATAAGTTTTAATTTGAGATCCATTGACCCTATTGCTACAGTAGTTAAGACACTCCCGTTGTCTAGGCAATATAGGAAGATCTTATTCTTTATACCATTCATATCTGTAAACTGTTTAGAGAGGGCTGTAAAGCACTATGAAGCGGTATATAAGTCTAAGTGCTATTGCTATATTTTATAGAACATTTCTTCCACTCATGTTTATAAAACATGATAGTTATATAAAGGTATTAGAAACTTATATGTACTTGAATAACAATTGCCATAGATAGCAATATATAGAATTGTAATTATTTACTATTAGAATGATACATATTACTTTTCTTTATTGTGTTTTTTCAATTTTATTAAAAACATCTATGTTTTTCCCCTTTGATAATATATGTATTTTTATCAATAGCTTTGTGCTTTGCTTTTTTCCCCTTTTTTGTTATTTTAAAAACAATACAAATAAATTTTAAAAGACAACAAAGGTCTCTTTCCAAGAGACTTATTGCATAAGCTTTTTTTTTAAATTGCAGACTGATTATAAAGTATTAGAATATACTCTAAGCTACTTTCCAGGGCCTTCTATTAAAAAATAAGGCGCATTTAATCAAGTCTTCAAATTTCAAGCCATATTCATATTTACAAATAACAAACCCAGTAATTTCATTTTCCAGAGAAAAATCAAGCTGATGACACAGATATCTGCTTGTTATCTGTTCTAATGTTAAACCACACAGGTTAAAAGGAAAACCACGTTTTAAAAGCTTGCTTTTTTCAGCCTTGTTAGAGAATATATATGAAGTTTCAGAGTTCAAAATTCTTAAACACCATAGCTTCATTATCTTTTAATGGTTTCATCCAAAGAAAGTGTGAAATGCTTGTTGAGAACACATTGCCTTACGTTGCATACAATATTAGCCAATTCCCAGTCACGTCTACTTATCTAAAAGGAGAACTAACATCCTAGTTTTTAACGGGAAACAGAAAAATCACCGAGAATCAGATGAAACAAATACCTCTGGAGCATAAATTATTAATACTTCCACAAGTATTTAGTATTCACAAGTATTCCAACAAGTTGGAATTAGAGGCTGAAATATGTGCTACATCTACCCACAATTTTAACCAGACCAATTACATAAAATAAAAAAAATAATAATTTGAATCTGAACTTTACCAAATGCATCAACTACTTCAGTTTGGACATAATACACTGATTTTGGCTTATTGTTCATTGTTTTTCTCTCAGTTGTTTTTGAGGAACAGAGGAATTTAAAGTAACAACAGTTTGTAATCATGGTAGAAATCACACAAAAGTAGTGCTAAGGGAAGGGAGAAGGTATGGACACACTTAAAATAGACACATCTGACAACAACAACAACAACAACAACATTATCCCCAAATCAGGGTACTATCACTACCTTTCAGCAATCCTTCTCCCAAATAACTATTGTCAGACTTAAGGAAATCATGTAATGCTATTGTGTCACGTCTTTTGTCTTATTAGGGAACAATTGGAAGAGACAGTCAGGAATGACGGCTTTCAGGTGCCAAGCCCTCTTTCTTCATAACATTATATTCTGCCCTACATCTTTTATTGAAAACAAGCTATTCTGGAAAATACAAAGAGAAGATTTCAAATTACACCTTTGTCAAGCTAGATTGCTTTGAACCAATATCTACCATTCTTCAGCCCAAAGGATCCGGAAGCAGGTTTAAGTTAGTATATTTAATGGACTGCAAACCTTGTTTGGCTCAGGGATGACCTATTCTAGTGAAATTATTTTATAATAAAGAATTAAATGAACAATTAAAATGGGAACATGAATGGATTTGGGGGGGGGGTGCCTTCAAGTCAATGTTGATTCCTGATGACTGCCTGGATTAATCCTTTCAGATTACGTGACAAGATTTTTGGAAGTGATTTCTCACTGCCTTCTTGGGGGTGGGGGCAAGTGACTGGCCATCTAGTTGGCCTCATGCCTAATGTGGAAACAGTTTACTCATTTCTAGCCTGGTGATCTGTCCCCGTCCACACACACACACAAACACAGCCAGCCGAGGGTTAAGAAAGTACTTGGCACGCACACAGGTTGTTATCTTAAACTTGGCAGCAATATAATCACCGTCTGCCAAGAGCTTTTACTGCAACAGATAACATAAAATTACATACGCATTGCAAATAGTCCAGCAAAACAATATTCCTTTCGGCAGCTTCAGACGTTGTTCAAGTGACTAGCCAAAGTTCGTTTTTGTTCGTCATGGAGTCTTACCAGCCACCACCCTCTCTTATATAGTCTCTGGGGTGTGGTCCAGTGACTCAGTTCTAATCCCTAGCACGCCTCCTTAACTGCTGCAACCATTTATCACGCCTTCGTTGGCGTGCATCCAGGAATGATGGCTCTCCTTCGCTCTCATCCGAGACACCTGGCTCCTGGCTAATCTCCTCTCCCTCGGCCGGCACCTGAGACAGTGCCAGAGGGGAGGGGCCTGGAGAGGGAGGCCTGGCTGACTCCTCTTCCTCATGTTCGGAGCTTTCTTCCTCCGATGAGATAGGCTCAGAGGGTGGGGCCACAACACCTGGTGCCTTGATCACTACACCAAAACTGGATCTCTTGAATTGAATATAGAAACAATTAAGAAACAACATATGATGAAAATCAGTCTTCCATCAATAACAATGAAACATCAAAAATTAATTTTCAGCTAAAGGCAAAGAATTCCTCAAAAGTACTCTTTTGATAGCCAACACTGAACAAGTTATTGTGTTAATGTTGCATATGGGGCTGGAGGGGGGAGAAAGCAAGGTAAAAGATAGTGTAAGGGAGTAGAAGTAGACATGAGTAAATATTGGGTATTATAAAAGTATGTGTTTTAAAACAGCATTGTCCTTAATAAATTTCCAACAACATGCTGTCCTACACAATCCTTTTCTATTAAAAAAAATTGTGTCGAATAAATTCTAAATATTATTTTTGTTGTATAAATCAAGAGTTTAAAAGCCGTTGACATAAAAGCCGGGTAGGGGACCTATCAGAGCAACTGGGTGTGACCTTTCCTGCTGGCTTCCCCATTGACTTTGTTTGTGGAAAGCCAGCAGGGAAGATTGCAAATGGTGATCACATGACGTGATAAGCTGCAACTGTCATACGTTCATACCAGATTGAGATCACATGATCATGGGAATGCTATAATGGCCAGAACTTTGAGGATTGGTCATGAGTTTCCTTTTTCAGTGATGTTGTAACTTTGATAGGTCATCGAATGGTTGGTTAGCAAAAACTATCTACCCTTTATTTGTGTCATTTTCTACAAACGTCCTTCTGAAAAAGCCAGTTCATGCACAAGCGTCTAGACTAAATCCTCCTAATTTTCATCTCTGTTACTGTGCTATTTCCTCATTCCCCTTTTTTATGTGCCATGAAGCCAGGGTCAGTTAATAGCAACCACATAGATAGATCTTCTCCAGAATGAACTGTCCCTAATCAGGCCCTTCAGGTCTTTCAATAGTACACAGACTGTTGTAGTTGAATTCATTTCCTTGTTGTGAGATTCATTCTTTCCTTCCCTATTTCTCAACATAATGGACTTCTCCAGACAAGTAGGTCTTCATTTAAGGCAGGGCTGTGAAACTCAAGGCCCAGGGGCCAGATCTGGCCTATGGGGTACTTAGATCTGGCCCGCAGGACCACCCTGGAAACAGTGATGGACTGGCCCATGGTGCTTCTGCCAGCCAAAATGGGCTCCTGAGCTCCGTTTTCGGCTGCCATGGCCTCCCGCACCCCCCTGACAGTGAAAACAGAGCTCAGGAGCCCATTTTCGCTGGCAGAGTGCTCAAGCCACCACCGGTGCCCCAGACAGGAGTGACATCAAGCTGGCCACGCCCTCCTGGCCACCCCCACCCTCCTGAGGTAAAACACAACCCTGATGCAGCCCTTAATGAAATCGAGTTTGACACCCCTGATTTAAGGTGTCCAAAATTAGACAATTTAAGTTTAGTCATTTGTGCTTCATATGAAAATTCCTGATTGATTTGTTTTATGATCCATCTCAGGAGTCATCTTCAACACCAACATTCAAAAGCATCGGAATTATTTCTATCCTGATTTTAATCTTTTGAAGGAGTAGTTGGATCCTGACATCTGATCCTCTTTTCAAAAGCCTTATTGCTATTGTACCAAGTGGTACTCTGTGGCATATTTCTTGACTGCTCGTTTCTTTCCTCTTGATAGTTGAACTTAAAAAGCAGCATTATCTACTAAATTACCTAGGTGGCACATGATGCTCATAGCATTTTCATCTGGGAAGCTACTCATCATGTGTATTACACTTCCTTTTGTCTACTTTTTAATAATGTATTTGTATATTTGACTGCTAGGAACTGGACGTTGTCTTACCTGAACGTCCCTTCTATGCACGCTGCTGGAGAACCTCCCTCTTCTGGGACAATATCTTTCAACTCTCCAGAAATTGAGTCCTTTGTAAGACTCTAAGACTCCTTAGAGTCTCCTTTCTCCCTCTTTCTCAGCTTGATGTTCTAGCCTGGCAGCTTCATTCTTAATGACCTAATGAGGCAACCTAATTGTAGTGGGAAGCTGCTACCTCACCTCAAAGGCCTTTGCCACCATTCATTGTTTCTTCCTATTCTTCCAAATCAACTATCAAAGCCTTAAAGGAATAAATATGCTCCTTGAAAGCAAAGAGCTTATTACTCCAGACTGAGCAGTGTCATATATATGGCACTCAATCTAATATATTGAATACCACAACATCCCTGATGGCTCTTTGATTGCAGTTACTTGGCAAGATTTATTTGGCCGAGAATCAAGTTCCTTAAGAGTATCATAGGGAGATACTTTCTGGCCTCCTTGTTCTGCTGCTGAAACTGGAAAGATGTTTTAACTTTTGAAGTTGTCTTCCTTGCAGTTTATAAAGGAGTATAAGGAAGGAAGCATAATGTGTGAGTATATTTCCACACACCATTCCAATAACCATCAGCAAATAAATGCTTTAATACAATAATAGAGGCAGTTACACTATTTTCAATCTATTACTCAATTAATTCCTTTTAAGGCTGCACAGTTTTTCACTCAATTCAATTGAAATACATAACCACAAACCAGATGTAGCGGAACATTAAAAATCTGATTTAGTTACAAACACTTTTTATCAATAATCTTTGACAATCTGAAGAGAATCCACTGAAATCTTGCCTGTGGTTTTACTATCAAGCTAAGCACTGAGAAATATCAGTTTTCTTTATAAAGTATCTGCCTAAGCTACCTGAGGTCCCTCAGCAAGTTCTACTACCTTTACTTTGCATGTCAAGTTCATACAGTGGTGAAATGAAAAGGCACATATTAAACATGATTTTAATGAAATCCTACAGTGTTTCCCCAAAAAGAAGACCCTATCTTATATTTTTTTAAAACCCTGAAATTAAGCGCTTGGCCTTATTGCCATGTGCTCAAAAGCCAGATTGTGCTCATTATCAGGGGATGTCTTTTTGGGGGGGAAACAGGATATGTCTTTTAAGGTGAACACTAGCATTGTTGCTGCTAAAGTAACATGCCTGCTACAGTTTTAAAGCCTATTAAAATAAATATGTTCAAATTGTTAAAATAAACTGATATTTGGATAGTGTGGTTGTAGTTTTTAAGCATAAATAAGAACTGATATTATCATGGATTACATCTTGGTAGTGATGGATACATCAAAATTTCTAGAACTGTCTTTTAGTCTTTGTCTTTACACGTTACACCATCTTCACCATATTACATTACAGCATCTTATATTTATTTTATTTTTATTTATTTTATTTACTTGTATCCCATCTTTAATATTTTTACAAATAACTCACAGTGGCGAACATATCCAACACACCTTCTCCCTCCTCCTATTTTCTCCGTAACAAAATACCACTTGCAACATAGTTTAACTCAGGGAAAAAAATCTGTGTGTGGACATTTTTATGTGTTCCATTATTTAAACCCTACTCATGCAGCTGTTTCCATAGTTTGTAAATGTTTCATTTAAAATATAATCATTTTTATGTTGGTACCCCATTTATTTCAAGATTAAAAATATTTAAAAATTATTCTATTCTATTCTATTTCCTCTTACCACTATTCCGACTGGCTAGAGTCTAATGTAGTCTACACCGTCTGGTCAATTATAGCATGGAGGCTGGGGACCAATTAATGCCATCTATAAAAGCTTGAATCATTCTGTCAATTAACTAGAACTAACTATGTCATCAGATATATTACTAGTGAGCAAGTCTATTTGGTTGCAATATGTCTTGGAGGAGTGCAGTATCAAATGAATCACAATTGACTTGGACAACTGCTAGCATAATTTCAGAAGATGAAAAGACAAATGGGGTAGTTATTAGTGGTCCCCTGAGGAATTACGGCCAATTGTAATGTGCTAAGCCTGCACTAGCAGGTGCCCTCAGCACAAATCAGGAAGAGGGTTAAATCAATATTTTCAATTTCTTTGGATCAATTCAGTGTTTGAACAAGATGGAAACTTGTTAGCAATTGGCAGAATGTGTAAATGAAAAGTCAAACTTATTATTTGTTAAAAGGGAACGGGTGCACTGCATCATGCCCTTGGCACAAAGTAACGCTTTCATGATCTACTTGCTTGGGCATTCGCTGAGAATCAAGCAGTTCTTAAATTTTAATAGAGTGCAAAAGGTTAGTTGCATACACGTTGACAATTCAAGAGCTTTAAAAATGATTGAAGTGTCAATAGGAATGTTTTTGAGGTGTGACAACAGAACAGTTATTAATGATTAGTGCAAGAACCAGC